GGCACAGGAGGTCCCCTATAGAGCCCTATAGGGGAGGCACATCCCTCCTGGACTTGGAGGCGTTTGTTGACCTTTTTTCTTGGCGTCTCCTGACATTTTTTCGCATTTCCAGGGATTATTTTGGCATTTCCTCTTTTTTTTTTTGGCACTTCCTGGGATTTTTGGGACATTTCCAGGGTTTTTTTCCAATTTTCAGGGTTTTTTTGAGGCATTTCCAGATTTCTTTTTGGCATTTCCTTTTTTTTTTTTTTTTTGGCACTTCCAGGGATTTTTTGGGGCATTTCCATATTTTTTTTTTCTTTTTTTTGGGGGGGCATTTCCAGATTTATTTTTGGCACTGCCAGGGTTTTTTTGGCATTTCCAGATTTCGTTTTGGCATTTTCAGGTTGTTTTTTGGCACTTCCAGATTTTTTTTTTTTTCATTTTCAGGTTTTTTTGGGGGCATTTCCAGGGGTTTTTTTTGGCATTTCCAGGGGTTTTTTTTGGCATTTCCAGGGGGTTTTTTGGCATTTCCAGGGTTTTTTGGCGTCTCCCTTCACCTGACACCACCTCGGCCGCGGCACCGTTGCGTCCCCGCCGCGGTTCCCTCCCAACCCTCCTCCTTGCTGGGGTGCTGGTGCAAAACGGGGGGCGAGTTGCACCCCCCAGGTCCTCTCTGATGAGCCGGGGGTTCGTTATGAGGCGTTGGGATCTCCTCTAATGAGCTGGGCTTCGTTAAGAGCGCTGACGGCCGCGGGTCCGTCCGTCTTGCAGCCTTTCCAGTGGATTAACGAAGCTCCCGAAGAAACTCATTTCCCAAATCCCCCCGTTTCCCAGAGAACCACAAACCGTGAGTTTCCAAAACACCTTTCCTTTTTTTCCCCCGGATCGCCGACGCTTCGCAACGCCACAACCTCGCCGGCGCTCCGGCGGATCGGCCGCTTTCAGCGATCCTGAGGACGCGATGCAGCACCTCGCCTTCCCCGCCCGCGTCGTGCGAACGCATTTGATTGATTCCAGAAGCCGCCGCTGGGTTTCCAGGATGGATTTTTTTTCATCGACAAAAAGCTTCATCGACCAAACTTTTATTTTTTCTCCAAACGACGGCGAAGAGATGATCGTTTCGGGGGCCGATTGCCTCTTTTTTCCCCCTCCTCAAACTCCGAAATCAAGCCAGCGGGCGAGGAATAAGTTGGAAAACCAAAATTTTTGGGTTTGTGTGACCATAAACCGCGAGTTTTCCTCCTCCCGCGGGCAGGAAGTTGCGAGAAGGATTCAAGGCTCCTCGCTGTTGGTTTTCGGGGCGCGAATGGAGCTCTGGAGGAGCAACGTGGGGATTTAGAAGGAAATTAAAAGCTCCTGGAGGGATTGACATCCCCAAACACGCCTCAGCCTGGGATTGGGGCTCCCTCTGCAGTCAGTGGAGAGAAAAAAGGCAAATTTGGGACTTTTCGTCACTGAATCGCTGCTGGGACGCCGCTCGCCCTCAAAACCCCCCCCGAGTGCCCCCCCGCCACGCGGAGGGCGACGAGATGAACCCCGGCTGCGGCTGACGGGGCTCCATGCGGAACTGAGCGCCACAATCCTCATTTGCGTTTCAGATTCACCAATTTATTTATTTTTTTAAAAAATTTATTCCCCCTTCTCCCCTTGGTTTTCTTCTCACCATCCTTGCGCTGAAATCCAAACCCCGCGACGATGCGGTTTCTGTCCTGTGGGGCGAGATATTTCCTCGAGGCGCCTCTCGGCTCGTTATTCCCTCGGCTAAACGAGCCGCCTGGGGTGCGGGGGTGATGGCGGGGCTCCGTGCGCTCCTTC